GCCCATTTACTCCTGATTCCCACCCAGGGCTTGGAGGAGTTGGGAGTGGTGGTATTTTCTCCTGCATAGCCTCTCTTTGGCACAGATGTGTTTGGCCATCCATCTTTTTCTCTTGCTGTCCACAGATTAACCGTGCTGATAAGGAGATAATTTCATAGGAGCTGCTAAGATGGGCATGAGGATCAAACTGCAAAGCACCAACCACCCCAACAACCTGCTGAAGGAACTCAACAAGTGCCGGCTCTCGGAGACCATGTGCGACGTCACCATTGTGGTGGGGAGCCGCTCCTTCCCGGCCCACAAGGCTGTGCTGGCCTGCGCAGCTGGCTACTTCCAGAACCTCTTCCTGAATACTGGGCTTGATGCTGCCAGGACCTATGTGGTGGACTTCATCACCCCTGCCAACTTTGAGAAGGTTCTGAGCTTTGTCTACACATCAGAGCTCTTTACAGACCTGATCAATGTTGGGGTCATCTATGAGGTGGCTGAGCGTCTGGGTATGGAGGACCTCCTTCAGGCCTGTCACTCTACCTTTCCTGACCTGGAGAGCACTGCCAGGGCCAAGCCCCTGACCAGCACCAGTGAGAGTCACCCTAGTACCCTGAGTGGTCCTTTGGCAGAACCTGCCCATCCCCTTGGAGAACTCAGAGGTGGTGGGGACCACTTTGGTGCTGATAGAAACTATGTGTTGCCCAGTGATGCAGGAGGAAGCTATAAAGAGGAAGAGAGGAATGTTGCCAGTGACGCTAACCATAGCCTGCCTTTGCCACAACCACCACCACCACCACCAAAGACAGAAGACCATGATACCCCTGCTCCCTTCACGTCCATTCCTAGCATGATGAGCCAGCCAGTCCTAGGCACTGTCAGCATGGGCATCCAAACGAGCACGAGCTCCTGCCAGCCATACAAAGTTCAAAGCAATGGAGACTTCAGTAAAAACAGCTTCCTCACCCCTGACAATGCAGTAGACATTACCATTGGGACCAACTCCTGTCTGAGCAATAGTGAGCACTCCAAAGATCCAGGCTTTGGGCAGATGGATGAGCTCCAGATGGAGGACCTTGGGGATGATGACTTGCAGTTTGAAGACCCTGCTGAGGATATCGGCACAGCTGAGGAGGTGATTGAGCTAAGTGATGACAGTGAGGATGAACTGACTTTTGGAGAGAGTGACAATCGGGAGAATAAGGCCATGCCCTGCCAGGTATGCAAGAAAGTTCTAGAGCCCAACATTCAACTGATCCGGCAGCATGCTCGGGACCATGTGGACCTGCTGACGGGCAACTGCAAGGTCTGCGAGACCCACTTCCAGGACCGAAACTCTCGGGTAACCCATGTCCTGTCCCACATTGGTATTTTCCTTTTCTCCTGCGACATGTGTGAAACTAAGTTCTTTACCCAGTGGCAGCTGACCCTTCACCGACGGGATGGAATATTTGAGAACAACATCATTGTCCACCCCAATGATCCTCTGCCAGGGAAGCTGGGTCTCTTTTCAGGGGCAGCATCCCCAGAGCTGAAATGTGCTGCCTGTGGGAAAGCACTGGCCAAAGATTTTCATGTGGTCCGGGGCCACATCCTTGACCATCTGAACTTGAAGGGCCAGGCTTGCAGTGTCTGCGACCAGCGTCACCTTAACCTCTGCAGCCTCATGTGGCACACGCTGTCCCATCTCGGCATTTCAGTCTTCTCCTGCTCTGTCTGTGCCAACAGCTTTGTGGACTGGCATCTTCTAGAGAAGCACATGGCTGTGCACCAAAACCTGGAAGACGCCCTCTTCCACTGCCACTTGTGCAGCCAGAGTTTCAAGTCAGAGGCTGCCTATCGCTACCACGTCAGCCAGCACAAATGTAACAGTGGCCTTGACGCACGGCCTGGTTTTGGGCTACAGCACCCCGCTCTCCAGAAGCGGAAGCTGCCAGCAGAGGAGTTTCTGAGTGAAGAGCTGGCACTGCAGGGCCAACCTGGGAATAGCAAGTATAGCTGCAAGGTTTGTGGCAAAAGATTTGCCCACACAAGTGAATTCAACTACCACCGACGGATCCACACGGGCGAGAAGCCATACCAGTGTAAGGTGTGCCACAAGTTCTTCCGAGGCCGCTCAACCATCAAATGCCACCTGAAGACACACTCGGGGGCCCTCATGTACCGCTGCACAGTCTGTGGACACTACAGTTCCACCCTGAACCTGATGAGCAAGCATGTCGGTGTGCACAAAGGCAGCCTCCCACCCGACTTCACCATCGAGCAGACCTTCATGTACATCATCCATTCCAAAGAGGCAGAAAAGAACCCAGACAGTTGACTGGGTCCTGCAGAGCCAGGAGGACAACCCAAGCAGCGGCCAGGATGTTGATTTCTAAAGGCTGTTGATCCCTCCTCAGCTGAAGTTATAATTTTGCCTTGGTAGGAATTCTGTTCTGTGTTTGTGTTTAAAGAAGAAAGAAGAAATAGCACATAAGCTGTTACTGTTTTTGAGAAGCAACAGCCCTGTCACATTTACCTCCATACCTGTTCTTGCCCATGAAGGGCTGCGTTTTTCGTTCTTTTGAGGCTGATTTGGGGATCTAGTCAAGCAGTTGGTATCAACTAGATCCCTTCCCCAGCCTCTCTAGTTGTAGTTTACTGATAGGTTTTATGCTGCTAAGAATCCAACCAACAGCCTCACTGAACAGAGGAGGTGAAGGGAGCTTTTCACTCTGGGTGGTACTGCCAGGCCTCCAACTGGGATGACCAGCTTTGAGGAAGATTGTGGGAATGCAGTTGTTCAGAAAAGACAGGTCAGCAGGGCAGTCCCCTCAGGTTCCAGCCCTCAGCTGGGTTATCAGGGATGTAGGTGTCTGCTTACTTTATGGCCCTAATCTGCGGATTGGACAGTGAAAATCTTTTGGCAGCTAGATTCACACTGGGGACAGAGCTTTCTATTTAGGTCAGAAAGCTTTGGGTTGAATCCCTGCCAGCCAGAAGGGGTGCTCTGTGGTGCTACTGGAAGTGGCAATCTGGATGGACAAGAAAGGTTTCTCTTTTCTCCTCATTTCCAAAGAAACATGATTTTATGGAGTCATGGGCCGGGGTGTCTGGCCTGTGGGGCTGAGAGGATAAGGAACCACTTTGATATAGTCATTTCTGTTGTGGCTACTCCTGTTGGCCGTGAGTGTCCTGGTGGAAAGGTGGGGATGTCTCTGACAGCAGCAGCCTTGCCTTAATTTATATCTGGTCTCCCACCCGGAAGTGTTTGGCCCGTGGTGTAGATAAGCAGACTCCATGAGGTAGTGGAGTGGTAGACCCTGAGCCCTTCGGGATTAAAGGGACCTGGGTAGCTGGTGGTGTGTAGCAGGTGTGCGTTCTGACTGTGTTAGTCGGGTAACCCGTTTACTTTGTGCTAACAGTGAGGGAGCTTTGGCAGCTCACCTTTGACCTGCTGGAATTTATCCTGAGCTGTCGTTGCTGTCACCTCCAGGGGGCGCCGTTGGATGGCAGCTGGTTCAGGCCCTCCCTGGGTGGCTGCAGAGTGTGCCCACCCAGCCCATGCAGCTGGTTAGCTCTACTCTTACTTGGTTTTCTAAGGGGTTTTGCCCAAAGAAGCCTTGAGGGAGAGGGCCCTCGATCTTGCATACTTTCGCGGTGTCACCTCAGGAGCTCATACTACCTCACCCTGCTCAGGTGAGCCCTGGCCTCAGCCCTGACACTGCCCCTGGTGGGATTCCACAGCACCCCGGGATGTTTCACAAGCAAGTGGTTTCCATTAACTTGCAAAGCCTTTTTGGACATTAATATTTATTTATTTTTGTTTTTGTATACCTATTATCCAGCATCTCTTTTGTGTAAGAGATTTTAGGAAAATGAGTTTCTCCACAGCAAGTAGCCATATTCCAGAGAACAGTCTTGACCAGAGATTTGGAGAACCAGGGGTATAACTAAGGGAGGACATGTCAAGCCCTTAAGCAAATTCTTTTATTCCCCAGATTGTCTCTAGCATAATTAAACCAGTGAAGCCTTTAGGCCATGGGTATATGTTCTAGAAAGTTTGGACCAGTTTAATTCCAGGCCTTTCATCCCCCTCCCATCCTGTGATGGAATAGATTGGGGATGGGCTTGAAGGGAACAAGTGACATGAAGGACCTTTTTGCACAGTTTGGAAGCCTCCTGTCCTTATTTATATTGAGACGTAAGACAAACCAAAGCTCCATACCTGTTGGACCTGCTGCTTCTCCCCAGCCCTGAACTGATAAAGCCGCAGAGTCAGAGTGCATGGCTCTCTGATGGGGTGACTATTAGATGAAGGGACTTGTATAGTGGCCAGTTTAAAGGTCCACCTTAGACCATCTAAACCCAGCTTATTCAGTGTCCCCTCAGGACATTCTCATCAGGAAAGCAGTGTTGAGACTCTTCATTACTGACTGGCTCCCTTTCTGACACTGACCATTAGAATTTACAAAGGAGATGTGTAACAGACTACAATCAAGAGTCTGCTACATTTTCAAGCATGAGCAATCCCTCCCAGACTGTTGGTGAGGACTGATTTTTGAAATGCTGGTGTGAGAGAGGCAGTAATTACTGGAACCATCCAAGTGGCTGAAAGTGGATAAATGCGCTGGAGAAATCGTTTTCCTTAGCAGAGGGCATCATGGATGCTGGATGGTCTGTGTACTTAAACTGAAACTGTGAAGTTTTCCCTTTTTGCCAGTAAACCAAAAACAGATCCTTGAAACTTTGCCCTTGAAACATAAAACAAAAAACTGCACTTCCTGATCGCCCTGGGGCTAGGTGGTTGATCAGGGTGGCTCAGTTGGTCCCAGTCAGATATGTCGTAGGATCAGTAGCTCATGAGACTTGTTGACTAGACCCCTATATTCACACCTGAATTTCCCCATTCCTCACCCCCACCAAGTCATGTCTGCTTCCTCTGCCTCTAGCTCCCCCCCTTCTGAATGGTTTTACTTGAAACACTACATTTCGGCAGAGGGCACCCTGGGGTACCTGGTAGAAGGTATTCATTTTATTTCGCATTTTTAGTTGTTTTGACTTTCTGTTCGTTTGATATTGTTGCTGCCTTTCTCCTGGAGCCCAGTTTACTACTGTCTTCTGTGTTCCTCTGAAGTTCTGTTTGAGCCTTGAATGCCCTCTTCTCCCTTTTTCTCAGTATGTACTCAGGACCAGCCACATCATTTGTGGAGCCCTCTTATTCACAAATTATTAAGAATTTCAAGACAGTGATCATAGAGCATCAAACCAAATATGAGGCCATTCCCAACTTGTTTTCTGAAGGGAAAATGGTAATACTTGTGTGGCACCTGGGGTTAAACAGCAAAGGCTCCATGTGGCCAGAGGCAGAAATTAATATCCTGGCACTCCAGTGGCCCACTGCACTGATGCCACAGCACCTGCTGGGAAGCTCTGCTAAATCTTAGTATTTGGTCCTAAATTTTATGACTCCGTGGAGTTCCCATAGTCTGTGGCTAGTTAGGAAGAAAGGAGGTGGTATGGGGTCAGGCCCAGGTGACTTGTAAGAACAAGGAGATGGGTAAAAGGTTTTTTGACATCCTTCTTTTCTGATCTGTGAGTACTCGTTTGTCTCCAGGCCAAACCTTTGGGCTTAAATATCTTTTTCCTAGACAGGTTTTTGCTACTGTTGAATTTTCTTTCTCCTCTGGCCTCCTGCTGTGCCCCCTTCACCAGGCCCCAGACTACTCAACTTCCCAAATTTAAACTTCTTTCTAGATGGACGCTGAATTTGTTGGTAGGGGAGTGGGCTCTATGGAGTGGTCTCTGCCCATCTGGGACCCTTTTCCCTAAGTCCTGCACCAAATGTGTCAGGAGGCAGGGTGCACAGCATTAGTTTCAATGTGGTTATTAAGCTTAACATCAGAATGAAAATGAAACTCTCGATTTTGACGTTTCTTTATAACCCTTCCCCGTCCAATCCACTTGCCCGCCCCTCACCTTGAATAGCTAAAGTCTTCTATGAAACAGATACGAGTTGATGTCTAACTCCTTCCATTAAATTAATAAGTACTGACCTCCTAATATTTAAGTTTACTATCTATTGCTGTAAAGTTTTGTATATTTTGTAAACTTTTTTCCCCAAATAGATGTCTAAAATCATTGTACATCTGATTCTTTTATATTCCATTGTTGAGCACAAAGTGTGGTTTTTATTTAGAATAAAAAAAGAAATTTGAAATGGGAGTTCTCTTCCTGTCTACTATCATATGCACATACCTAGAGTTGAGAATACCTGGGCTCATCCCCCTTTCAGTAGCACATTTCTGCCCAGCAGATGCCACAGTTCTCTCAGGTAGCACATTTTCCTTTCCTATAGCTAGAATTCCCCTGGATTAACTTCTTGACCCATTTTTAGTGGGAAGTTAAGTCAAAGACTCAACCTTTTCGGGGGTGTCCCTGAGAGGATCCTCCATCAGCCCAGAGACAGTGGTGGGTCTCTGCCTGTGTCTAGTTGGACTGATTTTACCAAGAGAGATTTGGCTACAACTTATCCTGCCAGCATCATTTAATTTGCTGGGACATCATGTTCCTTTGAGCGGAGCAAGTCAGATTCAAACAGGGAGGAGGCAAAAGTTTGGCATAGTTTAATGAGGTTGATACACAGGTATTTCCACAGAGGAGACAGACCTCAAGAAGTCAGGGAGTGATGTCCATTTGGTCCCAGAGCACATGGCCCAGGTGGGGCAACCATCAATGGTCAGTTGCTGAGCATAACAGCTGGTTCCCACTCTTCACCTCCATGGATGGAAGCCTTAGGGAAGTATTCATATGGCCAGGTGATAACTAATCTTGGGGAAGTGGCCTCTGAGGTGACCTGGAATGTGATAGATACAAAATTTGGTTTCCCTTGGGAAACTCCTGTAGCCCAAGTCAGAGGAGGCAGTGATATGCACATCAGATCTTGGCTTGCTTTTTTATGTTGGGACATGGGAGCAAAGTCTTTTCAATGCGAATTCTGTGTTGGTAGGTTAAGCCCTTACTGTGCCCCAACCCACAACCCAGACTCCTGGTTCAAAAAGCCTTCAGCTCTGTGCTACTGAGCAGCTGTCTGCAGTGTAAGACCCTTTCAGGTTTGGGCCCAGTGACGAGGGGGATGGATGATAGATGCAGGTTTCTTTCCATGCTCCTGGTAAACTGGGGTGTGTATGCAATTGGACCACAGTCAGCGCATCCAAACAGGTTCCGATTTATCAAAGCCAGAACAGGTGGTCTCAGGGTCAGTGAGTAGTTAATGCAAGTTAAACATTCTGGACACATCAAGCACTTGAGCAGGACAGAGGAGTTGGTGAAGAGGCTATCAGTGATTCCATCCCGTCCCTTCACCACAGGCAGGATTAAGAGGCAAAGGATGTGGAATTGGAGGGTGGACACTAGATCCTGTTCTTAGGCCTTCACTTCAGAGTCTTCATGGACAGGGTCCCGGTCTCCCAAATGTAAGTGATCCTTTTCCAGAAGGCCTACTTGTTAACAGAGGACTCGTTTCATCCGTAGAACAAATGCGAAGGAAAGTAAGTTGTGGGACAGGAAAATTATGAAAAGATGTGGCCAGGGAAAACTGACTTATAACAGCATCAGCGCTCTGCCCTGTGACGGAATGACATGTGGCCTTCCCCATCTGTGTCAGGGACAGAGGGTGAAGGACAGGGCATCTGTCAGCACCTGCTGCTGGCCGTCCCAAGGGCTGCTCTCAGAATGACATCCCTTGATATTTTCCTATTATCTGGAAAGAAAGAGATGGGGGTGGGTTAGGCTTTCTGGTAGCTCTGTGTCTTCCTAGAAGTCTGGAAGTGTCCTAGACCTGAAGCCGGGAGGAGGTCAGCTATGAGCAGCTGGCTCAGGGATAGCTCCTCTGCTTGTGGGGAGGAAGCAGGATGGAAACAGGGAGGGGAGGGTGTCAGCAAGAAAATGGAGCTGTGTTTCCTGGATGGCAGTGGGTGGAGACACTATCCTGCTGACCCAGCTGCAGGGTGCAGGTCTCAGACCTTGGCTTTGCCCCACCCCTGCCATCCCCATCCCCCTTCACTTATCATAGTTGTGCATAGGATGCACAACTAGGGAACGTCCTGCTGGAGCCGCCTGGTTCCTTGGCCTCTGGCCTCTTGTCCCCATAACCTGCATACTGAACTAAAAAATCAACAAGCTCACAAACAAAAGTTTTGTGAGGTTCCTGCGGAGCTCACTTTTTCCAGCCAGAGTGTTTTATGAAATGAATGTGTCTACTTTCCTCTGCCAAGCGCCTCTTTAGCCTCGGCTCCCTTCCCAATCCCAGCTAGAAGTACAGATTTTTAAAAGATCCAGAGTCCATGGCAGTCTCTCCCATTTATTTCACCTTTTGTTCCTGCCTGGCTCCCTCAGACACAAGGACGGAGACAAATAGTACAACAGAGGCCTGCTCTCTATCCCTCCACACCCCGTCTCCCTCTCCCCACCTCAGGATTTTAAGATAGACTCAAAATTGAACATGAATCCTCTGACCCTCCCACTGCATCCCCTCAAATCTCCCACTTACACTCTCACCTGTTCCTTTTCCTTCACTGGAGGAGCCTGGCCTCTACTTCAGCTGGATGTAAGAGGTTGAGGGGGAGCGATGGGGGAAGTATTTGGAAGTAAAGGGGGTGCCTGAAAGCTCAGGCTTGGCTCAGGGTGGGGGCCTGCTGCAGCGGGCTGGCCGTCCACCTTGGTGATGACAATGGAATGCTGGGTGGAAGAGGAGGCGTGTGTGCCTGCCCTGGCCTGGTCCTTGGGAAGGTAATGGACTACGGCATTCAGGAGCCGGTCCCGGAAGCGCGGGCTAAGAAAGTTGTAAAGGATGGGGTTGATGACACAGTGCAGCATGGAGAAGCAGTCGATGACCTCATAGAAGAAGTAGAGCAGGTGGACCAGGTGGCAGTGGAGAGAGATGTGGGTCCCATGCAGTGTGAGCAGCAGCAGGGTCACATGGTAGGGCAGCCAGCAAATAACAAAGACGGCCACGTAGGCACACATCAGCAGGCAGTGGCGCCGGCTCTCGGGCTGTCCTGGTTGCCGCAGCCGGCAGGCCATCAGCACATTGAAGACTGCGATGAGAGGGAAGGGCAGCAGGAAACCCAGGATGGTGGTGGACAGTGTCATCACCAGGGCCCAGGTGCTATGCATTTCAAAAGGTGCCATGAAGAGGCACACGGGCTCAGGGCCCTCTATCAGCTGGATGTGGACCACCTCAGGCAGCGGGATGATGGCAGAGAGGATCCAGATGCCTGCACACACGGCCCTCCGCACCTGGTGCTGGTGACGCTGCCAGGAGGCGGAGGCGCTGGTGAGGGTGGCATAGCGATCGATGCTGAGGCACACCAGGAAGAAAATGCTGCTATACATGTTGGCGAAGTAGAAGTAGTGAGTGAAGCGACAGAAGAAGCTGCCCCAGAGCCAGGTGTAGTCCAGCATGACCTCCAGCATCCACACGGGCAGAGACAGGACGACACCTAGGTCCGCTATGGCCATGTTGAGGATGTAGAGGTTCAGCAGCCCAGCCCGACCTGAGCTGTGCCAGTTGACGCATATCACCAGGAGGTTCTCCACCAGCCCAACCACAAACATGGCCAGGTAGAGGACAAAGAGGACCACACGCTTGGTGCTCTCGCTGAGCTCCACATGGCACTCGGACAAAGTGTGGTTGAAGAGGTCGAGCAGCTCGGTCCAGTTGTGGATCTCTCCAAGGTCACTGGTAGGCACTGCAGTGACCCCCTCCGAGGGGCCAGGCCCCCAGCTGGGTTTCACTGACATTAGGACCAGCACACACGGATGAAGGCAGGGTTGGAAGGGAAAGCAGACCTCGAGAGCCTTGCGTCTTCAAGGTAGAGGCCAGAGGGAGTCACCTGCTTTGGGGAAAGATTCCGGGGCTGAGGAGGCAAGAAAGGGAAGTTGAGCTTTCAAACTGTGATTAAATAAATAATGCGCAACTCGCTAGCTCTGACCCAACAGCAAAGATACTTTCTTAAGGGGTTTCAGTGCTAGAAGAGGCCAGGACTGTTGGTGTCCACCAGTTCTCATCCCCAGTCAGTCCCCCTCGGCAGCACCTCATCCCCCGACCCCCACCATTCCTAGGTGGTCTCCAATCTCCACCTCTCTCCTGGCGCTTCATTCCTCGGCCCTTTTGCACAGGTCTTCATTGCACTTTTTCTGTCTTGCTATTTGGACTGTGAGTAGGGAACACCCACACACCCCACACACATCTGATTCACCCCAGGAAAACCTGAGGATCATGCAGGAAAGCCAGCTGCCTCCAAAGCCCTGATTCTCATCTTCCCTGGGACAGGGTGACACTCACCTGAATTTCCCTTGGGAGCCCCTAGGTCCTGGAGGGAGGGCCGGCAGGTCCAGGCTGTGGGGAGCTGTGAGGAGGCTGGAGGGGCCGTGGCTGTGGGGCTGGCTTCCCTGCTGGCTTCAGTACCGCCCTCCTCATCCGGGAAGCAGCTGTCACTGCTGAGGTTCTGTGGGGAGGGCTCGGTTTTTTCCCTGCACTCCCCCAATCCGGTTACAGGGGACGTCCCAGCAAAAGACCCTCTGTGCCAGTGGCAGGGATGTCATACTGCCAGCATTAAAATCCCAACTCCTCCCTCACTCTCTGAATGAATTTACCTACTTCCTTTTTCTTTTCTTTTTTTTGATTTTTTAATTTTTTATTTTTAAAGATGGAGTTTCACCATATTGGTCAGGCTGGTCTCGAACTCCTGACCTCAGGTGATCCACCCACCTCAGCCTCCCAAAGTTCTGGGATTACAGGCGTGAGGCACCATGCCCGGCTGAATTTACCTTAGCCTCAGTGCTATCCTCTGCAAAGTGGGATCAACAATATTATCTACTAAAAGGGAGATTGTGAAAATTAAAGGAGCCGTTGAGGAAGGAGGTGCTTAGCTCAGGTCAGGCCTGTGGGAAATGCTTTACATAATGTGTATTTTCCACTCCCTAAGTCGGCTTGGAATCCCTCTCTCCCCTGTCTTGATTCTTACTAGAGTGAAACTGGATACAGGGGTATAGGGGAGGGTTAAAATACATCTGAAAATCAGTTGGGCTTTTAATGGCTCTGCCATTCTCCCCAGCCTCTCATAGGACTGTGAGCTCCTGCCTTCATCTTGTGACTGGAGGTGAGAATCTGGGGAGAGAAAAAAGACTGAATGGCTGGGTGTTGTGGGTCACGCCTGTAACCCAGCACTTTGGAGGGCCAAGACGGGTGGATCATTTGAGGTCAGGAGAGAGATCAGCCTGGCCAACATAGTGAAACCCTGTCTCTACTAAAAATACAAAAATTAGCTGGGTGTGGTGACATGTGCTGTAATTCCATCTACTTGGGAGGCTGAGGCAAGAGAATCACTTGAGCCCAGGAGGCCAAGGTTGCAGTGAGCCAAGATCCGGCCACTGAACTCCAGCCTGGGTGACAGAGTGAGACTCTATCTCAATTAAAAATAAAAATAAGATTGCATGTGGGGTATCAAGGCGGCTTTGTCAAAGCTGTAGGGAGACTACTGAACGGGCAGGGAGAGTGAGAACAGCACTCTCCCCGCTGTCCCCACCCCGTGGCTCTATACTTCTCTGCATGAAGGGTGTGGTGTGTGACTGGCAGAGATTGCACAGGAGATGGGGCATAGGGGAGGGAGAGCAGACTTCTCTACCCTCCACGTTAGAGGGTAAGGGACCCTAAGCTGCGTGTTACAGGTCAACATCTTGTGTCCGCAGAGCTTTCTGCCTCTCAGAGTGCTTTCTCGTCACTTCATCTCGTTTGATTCTGGAGATACTCCTGTGGGGAGGATTGTGCCGCCGCCACCTCTGTCTAGGTGCTAAACATCTTCATTACTCCAAAAGAAAACCCTATAACCATTAAGCAGTCGATCCTATTCCCCCTACCCCCAATCTTCTGCTTCCTGTCTCTATGGATTTACCTATTCTGGATATTTAATAGAAAGGGAACCGTATAACATGTGACCTTCTGTGTCTGTGTGTCTTTTTCATTTAGCATGTTTTCAAGGTTCATTCACATTGGAACATGCATCCATACTTCATTTCCTTTCATGGCTGAGTAATGTTCCCTGATGTATGTGTGTACGTATACACACACACCACATTTTGTTTATCCACTCAAAAAGAACACTTTTTAAAAGTCTGCTAATTGATTCTTTTATTATGGTAAAATATACATAAGATTTGCCATTTTTGGGTGTGCAGTTCAGTAGCACTGAATGCATTCACACTGCTGTGCAACCATCAGCACCATTTATCTCCGTGGGAGGGGATATTTTTAACTTTGCAGTTTTCTTAAACCTTCCACTTACATAGCAGATCACTCCGAGATCACAAAATCTATCATGGCCAGCGCAGTGGCTCACACCAGTAATCTCAGCGCTTTGGGAGACTGAGGTGGGAAGACTGCTTGAGCACAGGAGTTTGAGACCAGCCTATGCAACAAGATGAGACCTCCACCTCTACAAAAAAATAAAATAATTAACCAGGTGTGGTGGTGCAGCCTGTACTTGGGAGGCTGAGGTGTGGGGATCACTCGAGGCAAGGAATTCAAGGCTGCAGTGAGCTATGATCACACCACTGCAATGAAGCCTGGGCGAGAGAGCTAGATCCCATCTCTTAAAAAAAAAAAACAATCCTGGGCTAGGTGAGTGGTTCACACCTGTAATCCTAGCATTTTGGGAGGTTGAGGTGGGTGTATCACCTGAGGTTAGGAATTTGAGAGCAGCCTGGCCAACATGGTGAAATCTTGTCTCTACTAAAAATGCAAAAATTAGCCAGGTGTGGTGGTGTGTGCCTGTAATCTCAGCTACCCAGTAGGCTGAGGTGGGAGAATCTCTTGAACCAAGGAGGTGGAGGTTGCAGTGAGCTGAGATCACACCACTGCACTCCAGCCTGGGTGACAGAGTGAGACTCTGTTTCAAAAAACAAAAAAAAAAATCATGATGAACCATGACAGTGTGAAATGTGGTTTACTTTGATTTTTCAGTTAGTTTTGCTCTCTCATTCTCTCTCTTTAGGATCTCAGTTTCTATCCCATTAATATTTTTCTCCAGTAAGGAGACTTCTGAGAATTTGCCCTTCCCATTACATGCTTTTGACCCATGCAAATGAAGCCTGTCCTAGACCACCCTCCAAGGAAGACCCTGGTCTGGTCTTTGTCCTCTCCAGATGGCCACATCTGTGTGCATTTCTGTTTCTCACAAGACTGCCCTTTAGTGGCTCCTATCTCCTGGGTCTCTGAATTGTCCTTCCCATACGGAGACCTCCCCCTGCAGCCTCACTTCTACCTGCTCCCTGTTCCCACCTACTCCTGTCACCCAATGTATATTTGTAGAAAGAGGAAGTAATGGTGGCTCCTTCTGGCAGAGGCTCAGAGGGAAAGCTCCTCCCTCAGGAAGAAGTAAGTGATAGCTCTACAGTTTCCATGTGGGGCTTTTTTAGGGGGTGGGGGTGCAGCTAGAAAGAGAGAAACTGGGAAGAAGAAAAAGAGGGAGGAGCAGGAGGCCAGGCTCCTTGCCAGTTTGGGCAAAAGGAGCAGCTTTGCCACGTGCAGCAGGAACACCGGCAGTGAAACAATTCCTGGAAATTTACTCTTTCTCCTCCCCGCCCCATTTTTTCCCCCGAAAAGTGTAAACAAGACTTTGCGATCAACAATCAGAAAGGAAGGAAGGTACCAGGGAGGAGGTACTGAGAGACAGAGATAAAGGCAGACGACTTCCCAGGGTTGGGTTGGGCAAAGGGCTTCGCCTGGATCCTGGCAGAAGGGGTGACGCAGGCTGTCCCAGGGATCAACCTACGTCTCTGGTTTATGGAATGGAGGCAGGTGCCTCATGGACAGGTTAAGGCTGAAGGATTTGGCAGTGATTGCACTCACGTCCACAGTGTGAACTCCCAGAAGGTCACTGAGTTAGGAAGCCAAGTCTAGTCATGGAGGCTGCTCTGCCCTCCTGCCACAGCTTCCCCAAGCTAGAGAGGCAGCTAGAGGGGCATCTGGTCAGCCCAGCAGTACCAGATTAGGAGCTTTCCAGGTTCCTCAAAGCGTGTGGCCCACTCCCCTGTCCTGGCTCTGTCTGCTCAGCTCTTCCCTATTCACCAGCCCTTCATAAGACACTGTGGAGATAACACCAGTTTTTGAATCAGACCTGTTTTTTGACAATTTTTTCCACCATTTGGTAGCTGTGTGATCTTGGGCAGGTCACTTAACCTTTCTGAATCTCAGTCTCTTGTATTTTATTTTAAAATATTTAATTGTAGCCAGAGCAATCAGGCAAGAAAAAGAAATAAAGGGTATTCAAATAGGAAAGGAGGAAGTCAAATTGTCTCTATTTGCAGACGACATGATTGTATATCTAGAAGACCCCATTGTCTCAGCCCAAAATCTCCTGAAACTGATAAGTAACTTCAGCAAAGGATACAAAATCAATGTGCAAAAATCACAAGCATTCCTATACACCAATAACAGACTTAAAGAGAGCCAAATCAAGAACAAACTGCCATTCACAATTGCTACAAAGACAATAAAATACCTAGGAACACAACTAACAAAGAACGTAAAGGAGAACTTTACAACCACTTCTCAACGAAATAAGAGAGGACACAAACAGATGGAGAAACATTCCATGTTCATGGTTAGGAAGAATCAATATTGTGAAAATGGCCATACTGCCCAAAGTAATTTACAGATTCAACACTATCCCCATCAAGCTACCAATGACTTTTTTCACAGAACTGGAAAAAACCACCTTAAACTTCATATGGAGCCAAAAGAGAGTCTGCATAGCCAAGTCAATTCTAAGCAAAAAGAACAGAGCAGAAGGCATCACACTACTGGACTTCAAACTATACTACAAGTCTACAGTAATCAAAACAGCATGGTACTGGTAGCAAAACAGAGATATAGACCAAAGGAACAGAACAGAGACCTTGGAGGCAAAACAACATATCTACAACCATCCAATCTTTGACAAACCTGACAAAAACAAGCAATGGGGAAAGGATTCCCTGTTTAATAAATGGTGTTGGGAAAACTGGCTAGCCATGTGCAGAAAGCAGAAACTGGACCCCTTCCTGACACCTTACACTAAAATTAACTCCAGATGGATTAAAGACTTAAACATAAGACCTAACACCATAAAAACCCTAGAAGAAAATCTAGGCAAAACCATTCAGGACATAGGCATAGGCAAGGACTTCATGACCAAAACACCAAAAGCACTGGCAACAAAAGCCAAAATAGACAAATGGGACCTAATCAAACTCCACAGCTTCTGCACGGCAAAAGAAACAATCATTAGAGTGAATCGGCAACCAACAGAATGGGAAAAAATTTTTGCAGTTTACCCATCTGACAAAGGGCTGATATCCAGAATTTACAAAGAACTCAAACAGATTTACAAGAAAAAAACAAACAAGCCCATTCAAAAGTGGGCAAAGGATATGAACAGACACTTTACAAAAGAAGACATACA